GACCGACAACCTCCATGTATACATACCCAATCTCCTGACGTAAATTCGTAGAGGTCAGTCCAACGACTCTCGACTACGATGGCGATGTCTATGGAGGACTGGGACAAATAAGTCATCAACTCTGGGTATAGGCCTGAGCCGAGTCCACCCGAGTTCCAAGACAATACACGGAGTCCACGGACACGTTCCTGTCGGAAGGATGGTCGGGTCTGAATGCCAGCAGGTACCCCTCTGTGATGTGAAGGCACGTCCTGTGCCCAGAGGGTACGCCCGCGATAGCGGTAGAGCCTTGTTGCAATGCACGGTTGCATGCCCGGTGGAAGGCACGCTTTACGCGGCGGCTATAATCGCGCGAACTCAGACCGTGACTGGTAGGGAGGTCACTTGGCTTCGGCGCCGAAGCCAATGGAGGCATCAATGAGAAAGCACCTCCAGCAGCTCTAGTGACAGGAGCTGCAACCCGCGCTTCTGATCCCACGGCGGTCACACATCTAAGTTGCAGGTAAAAGAGAAGAAGTCCATGCAACCAGTAACCGTGGGATCCTCGGGACTTGGGGGACCTGAGCGGCTAATAAGAGGAGGCGAGGCAGATGCCGAAGCAGTGGTGGAAACACCTTCAGAGGTGTGACTTGAACGACGATCAACTGTGGTGGTGGCTGATAGGCTGCCCATCCAGCATTTGGCTGGGTCACCGTGTTGACACCATGGAGCCGCCTGACCTGGGCCGGCATGGCAGTAGTGAAGGTGCAGCAATGTTGGGTGCTCGCGGTGGGGCCGAAGGGCCTGCCTCACCGGGAAGTGGCACAGGGTCGCGGGCCTTGCAGCCGGCCAAAGGGTACCTGGAGGGAGGTCTGCGCAGCTGCATGAAGGCTATGGCAGAGTAGGCGTATGCTACAGCTTTGCACAGTGGCACACGGCGGCGTTACTTTTTGATAGCGGCATGGAAGAGCCAGGCTGCACTGGAAGACCCGTAGGAGGAGCCATAGGAGGAGCTTGTGGCTCGCTGCTTTCGTGGCGGTGTGGATCCCAGTCCACTGTGCTTCACCTGCTGGTAGAGCTAGGGGTGGTAGCATTAGTGGCCGTGGCAGGAATTAGGGTCGTCTTAGGGGCGTATGGGTCCAGATAGGCCCACCTGGTGTGCTGGTCAGGATCTGGAGCAGACGGCCGGGATCGAGAACGTGATCGCGATCTTTCGGCCGTGTGTGATGTCCCTGAGCCCCGAGCACGAGCATCCTCACGATACATACTTAGCCACTCGCGAGTTTCCCGTAAGCATGCATTGGCCGACCCCAGGTCAAAGCAAACCAGCCTGTCCTCCGATTCATACAGCATGTCGGAGCCGTGGGCGGTGGCCCCTGCCAGGTCATCGTGGTGTGGATGTCCTTCGTGAGGAGGGAGTGCTGAGACTACGGAGTTCGCCGTCAGGTTGGCCGAGGGAGGCGGTTCAGCTTCACGTCCATGGTCACTGTCCGAAGCATTCGGGTCGGGTCACCCTCAGCCCCACCTTCACATGTGCGCCAAGGGTGCCTTCAGCATGGTTACCAGGGGAGCGACGGAGGTCCGGCAGGTCGACGAGAGGATAACGAAGATCTTGGGGATCCGTTCTCTGGAGCATGTACTCTTCTGCAGGCGTTGCCACCCTGAGGGATATCAGCAATGCCCCCCAAGTGCCAATCTCGGCGAGAGAAGGGGCCCGCACGTAGGCGGGTCCTGTTAATTGTAAGTGGTGAAGTACGTTGGCCGCCAAACTGCGGTGCCACCTCGGTGCACCTTCTGCTTCACCTGGCGGAAGCCTGGTCGGCCTAGCTGTGTCCACTCCGGTAGGAGGCCGAGGTCGATCCTGCACTGGGCTCTGTCCTCCTTGCCCTGATGAAGGCCATATTCTCTGGGCGCGGCGGAGGCGGTCCATTCGGTGGCAAAGGAGGCGGGATCGTGACCGGTGGGTGATCCCTCTCCGCCGCTGTCATCGGAGACGTGGGCACCGACTCTTGGTCGCTCTCAGCTCCTTCGTCTGCAGCATTGGCATCATCCAGAACGCTTCATGCAAGGGATCGCGATCCATGGTGAGGGCTCCAACACATGCACAGCTAGCACAGGAGGGTTGCCCCCCTATGTGGTCCGGCAACCATGCGGAAAGGAGGAGGGGACTGAGCCCTAGGCAGAGTCCAGGCCTAAACCCTAAGACTAGGGGTCCAGGGTAGCAATGCATGTGTTCTGTTGCTGTGTCAGTGCGAGTGGCAGTCGACTGATCGCATGTGGCAACATCCCTCGACGGAACCAGCCGAGAACAACAGAGCAGGCACCATGCATGCATGCATGTACTGCAGGCTGATTCAATGGCTTGAAGCAAATGAACTGTAGCGGCGCACGTGGTGTGCAGAGCAGCAGCAGCCCTTGCCATCGGAGTCGCCAGTAGGTGTAGAAGAGTGCTGACCTGTCGCGAGGTTAGGTTTTTGCGTTTTCTCCGGAATCTCCTTTTATAGGGGGCCTTTACCTCCATCGTCGTTGTGTGAGGCCTGGGTACTTCCGGAGACCTTGAGCCCAGCGGATGCTGGTTAGGGCCGTGTTAGCAGTAGGGCCCACGGAATGCATGCTGGGGGTAGGGTTCCACTTGCAGGAGGAGGCACCTGAGTCCAGTCGAGCACGCTGATCGCAGTTAGTCCATGCAGGAGAGGGCTTCGGTACAGCAGCAGAGTCTTCGCACCGTGCAGGGTGTCCATAAGCGATGGGCCAGTGCAGGATAGCAATAGCGACACCAGTGTTGTATCGGGGCCAGGTCCGGTGGGTACTTAGATACCTTTGCTGCCAGTAAGAGTTGTTCTGGTTCACATCCTGTCCAGCGAGCTTCAAAGGCATCAAAGTACCTGTGCTCTTGTCGGTACCCGCCTGCCGTTGCGAACATCGATAACAAAAGCTCATGTAGGAATTCTCGCCTGGCCCTGGGGTTGGCTGCAAGCTCATCCGCGCTGGCTCGGCATCTCGAACAAGAAGCTGTGGTAGATGGTATGCCCCAGTCATGTATCTTGTTACATCCATGTCTGTATCCCACGTAAAGCAGGTCATGATCAGTTGCAGCATGTGTCGCTTCCATGGCATGCCAGCTCCCCCCCTCGCCGACAGACAATTGTGATTGCGTGCCCGGAGCCAGCTAGGGAGCTTACGTTCAAGTCGAGGCCTCTGGTTTTCCGGCATTGCCCACTCGCTGTGAGCCGAGAAGCTTCTTCTACTACTACTACTACTAGTACTAGTACTAGTACTAGTACTACTACTACTACTACTACTACTACTACTACTACTACTACTACTACTACTACTACTACTACTACTACTATTTCAATTGGACGCTGTGCGAGCGGGCTCAGCTACTACTACTACAACTACTACTACTACTACTACTACTGCTACTGCTACTGCTACTGCTACTGCTACTGCTACTACTACTACTACTTCTACTACTACTACTACCACTACCACCACCACCACTACTGCTAGTACTACTACAACGACTACGACTACGACTACTGCTATTACTAGTGCTAGTCCTGTTACTGCTACTACTATTATTCCTGCTACTACTACTACCACTACTACTACTACTACTACTACTACTACTACTACTACTACTACTACTACTATTCCTACTACGACTACGACTACGACTACGACCACGACTACGACTTACGACTACGACTACGACTACTACCACTGCTGCTATTGCCATTGCGTAATATAGATTCAATACACTCCTACCATCTTTATTATAGTCCTGGAGTCCAACGGAGGTTTTCTCCATACATCAAGCAGTTTCAATGGCTCTGTAATAGAGATTCAATAAATTCCTACAATTTTAATAAAGACCAAAGAGCCCCACCCAACAAAGGGTTTCCATTATTGCGCCACCTCGGGTCCGAATTCCGGGTGGGAGGGCGAGGGCCCCGCCCTACGATTTACAAGCTCGGATTAAGCAGTCTGCTGTTGGGCCTTTTGTCACCGAGTTTGTTTCATGCCAGTGGTCCAGCTGAGAGGTGGAATGGTGACGGACGTTCAACAAGACTTCATCGACCTCGCCAGGGTAGGAGGGCGCGCGAAAGCTCTGGAGGAAGTTGAGGCAAACCTGCGCGGGCTTGGACAGCTTCTTGCCCACGGTCATGCGGCAGCCTGCGCTCTGCGCCGTCACATCCCTTGTAATCCTCATAAACCTTTGAACCCTATGACCCTTAATCCAATACCTAGAAACCCTAAACCCTTATAACGCATTTAACCCTTGTAACCTGTATAACCCTATGCCAATATCACCCTTACAACCCTTGTATGTATGTGTGTATGTATGTACGTATGTGTGCACGTACGTATGTACGTATGTATGTACTGTATGCAGGCAGGGAAACGAGGCAGATCTGCGCGAGAGTATGTTTTATCCTGGGTTGGCCTTCAGCCCCACGGCTCAAACTAAGAAATAAGAGCCTTGTGCTATGACTGTGGCCTAATCTAGCATTGTTGGGACTAGTCTTATTGCACGGGTTTTCGATGTTACCGTCAAACTGGAGTTGATGCTCGAATTGCTATACTAGCATTTTTACTAGCTCACTATCCGGCTTCTTGCCTGTCGTTGGCATCTTTCCTTATCTTGGTCGAGTGCATTCTTCTGTCTTTAATCATGTCCTTCCGTCCTGTTGCGCATCGTTCTTGCTTCGTTGGGTTCTGTCCCATGACCTCTGTCGCCATTGCAGCCACCGTCGATGTATTAGTAAGAAGAGAAAAGAAAGCATGGGAAAGGAAATGGGCACAAGCGCGAGTCCGCAGCAACAAGATGACGAGTACAGAGTCCAAGCCAGAAGTCGCGCAAGTAAGCGGTAGACCGAATGCCAAACCGAAAGCGATTGACCTGACGGCACGACCGTCGGACGGACGGACGGACTGCCCAAGCATTTAAAGACAACAAACACCCCAACCCTGCAAATCTGCACAAGATGGCACATCTACATGAGTTCCCTGCTGTCCTTCTGTAGATCTCGGACTTGATCATGCAAAAGGCTCCTCGATAAATGCACGCAATCCAACTTTGCAGTGGTCCGAATGGTGACGAAGAACACAGAAAAGCCTTTGATATTCGCTGTCTTGCGAGGCGATGACCACGGAACAGTTCGCCTGGGCGTCAGCGGTCGGCGGTGGGCTGTGGCAAGGCATTGATCGGCCGGCCTTCAGTTGTTCCTCCTCCCGCTGCAGGCGTCTTTCTTCTTCCTCCTTCTCCTGCCTTTCCCTCATTGCCTGCTGCACTTGTAAAGCCAGCGCACCGGTGCGGGACCTGCCGGCATCCTGGCGGCCGAAGATTCAAGTCTACGGTGCACTCGGCGCTTCGAAGAAGCGGTGCCTTCTGGGCAGCACTGACAGCCTGCCAGCTTCATGCAGCAACTTTCTCGCAAAGGTCTCGAAACAGAGAATCATAATGCAGACACGTCGAAGTCGACGCTAGAGAAGCATGCAGACCAAGACGCTGGTGTCTGAAACCCGTTGTCACACTCGTGCAGGCCAGCGGTGCTCGGCTGAAGTCCAGCTGTTGCCAAGGAGGTTTTGCCTTTCTCAGCAGGCTCTTGCATTGACCAACAGTCTTATGCTTTGCACTTTGTTCTGCTTGGAAACCAAAGCCTTCCAATGTAGAGGCCTTCTGAACTGGAGCCATCTGCTTTGAAGTCCGCTCTTGGCCATCTGTCTGTGTTGTGTCAGCGCAGGAGTCCTTGGATCCCAAACCCAGCAAGTCACTCCTCAAGCGGCCCCAGAAGCACTCAAGCGGTCACTTAACAATCCGAGTGGCAAGGACTGGCGGCTTTGAACGGCAACCTCAAGCGGTATGCACCCGGTTCACAAAGGCAACAACAACACATTCAGTCGTACTGACCAATGCCATAATGCGGCATGAAACACGGTAATGAGGAGACCTTCGAATCGCCGGGTTCTTCTGCTGCTTCTGCTGTACTCTTTGCAGCTTCTTGTGCTGCATCGGGTTCTGGCATGTCTTCCGGCTGCGGACCCGAACAGACTTCGTTCCTCACGGCCCCGGCCCCGGCCCCCTGCAGAGCATCCAGAAGTGCGGCTCGCTGCTGCGAGATGCCCCGCTCTGGCTCTCTGAGAACAAGCACTGCGCTCCTTGGAGCTAGCCGTGGTTCCCAAGAGCAGAACCCCAGTGAACCCTGTCGGCTGGCCAACTTTCGCAACTCGTCAGCATGCTCTGGCAAGCGCTTGAAAGTCGCAGCGATGTCTACACGGTGGACACCCCCCATTACGAACGCTCGCAGTCCACCATCTGCCATTGCAACATAGATTGAAAGGATCATGGGGGCCGCAATGCACTTCTCAGTCAAGTGTGGATTGCGCCGGCTGCCGTCCTTGCATCGGAGCAATGGGACATAATGCCGGCGCAGAACCCAGGCGGTGGAACAGTACCTAATTAGGAGTTCACCTTTGGATACCCAAGAACCTTCCAGCGCCAAAGTTATGAAGCTATTGATTTCACGATTCAGTTGGCATCCCGGCGGATGCGGCCGCGGTCGTGGAAAGAGAACGCGTTGCTTGGCGAACATGCACTGCACCACAGCGGGAGCCGCGGAAGCTCCACGAGGTCCGGGGCGTTCAAGCGCGGTATTAATCACCACATTACCAAATCCCTTGCTGTTACGTAACAGCTCCTACCGTAACAGCTCCCCGTATGTGTTACCACGGTGTTTGGTGACCCTGCCGCAAACATCTCGGAGCTCAGAGACGAGCACTGACACCCCCTCCTCCTCCTGCGGCTTGGGACGAGGTTGGCAGCTCGTGTAGTTGATGAAAACCTCGCAGCATGGCAAAGTTCAGCAGGGCATAATACCTTAAGCTCTGCAAGCCTCCTGCTGCCCGACATCTTGGAGGATCAGAGTATGCGTTGAAGACAGAATTTCAGGTAACCTGAGACGAAAAGTGATTATCACAGAACGCCACCGCGGTCGCCAACCTTTCTCTCGGTCAAAGCCCCCTTGTTTGCGGGCAGGGCTCGAAAGTGTAAATTCCACAGGGTCTACGTGAGATCTGTGCAACCTTGGTGTCCCCCACAACTTGGACCACAGATTCCAGGGCACTACACCGACCGCTGCACACTGGAGGCCTCAATCCGGAGTTGTTTACGACCTGCAGGCACAAGACGAAGCAACCCTGCTTGCAGACCGATCTTGCTCCGCTTTTCTGAGTAGGCTTCCGCAAGTGACAGTGCATAACAGGGCCTCCAGCACCACGTCTGAATCGTCCTGGGGCACAGGAGATTGTTGGATGCCACCCTGAAGCGAACGAAGCAAACCGCGCCTGAGTCTGATGTGGAGCTTCTGTGCTTCCCAGACGTGCGCCCGATGGTCGTGCACCCATAACAACTTCAATGCTCAAAAGCCGCAAGTTCTGTTTGTGCCGTAAAACTGACTAACCACAGAGCTGTCTGCAAGAGACTCTCCTGAACTGCCACCTGTACTCTTCGGCTCTTCGTTCTGCTTCTTTTCAGGGGTCTCGTCACCGCATGCCGCATGTGCCTGTGCCTGTGTGCAAAGATGTCACAGAGCCGGAGCCGAAGAAAGCGGCGTTACCGCATGTGCGATGCGCCTACGGAAAAAGAAACGACGGCTCACAGCTCCCTTTCGTCTCCTGTCAACCTCCAAGCTCCTCGGGGAGCAATGCTTGGCATGACCCCGGAAAGCAGGAAGTGATTCTGCCGGCAGCCTCCATCGAACTGCGCAGCGAGAAACGAAGACATATTACACTTGGTGAAACTAGTCGTGGTGGCTGCGGCATTGCCGCATGTCGAAATTGACTTCCGCTACCTACTTGACGTCGTGGCATTGGACTGCTGACTCCCTGCATTGGAGCTTTCTTGGTACCCACTGCCTCCGGTTTGATTTGCACAGAAGAAGCAGACAATGTTTTATTCCAACGATGTCGGGCCTCTCTCTCCGCTCTCAGCTTCCTCATCGTCCTCTTCGTCCTCTTCCTCCTCCTCCTCTTCTTCGTCCTCCTCCTCGTCGTCCTCCTCTTCACTGGAAGTGTCCTCACGGTCAACAGCCGACACCACTTCGTGTGAAAGCGGAAAGCCTCCAGACATAAATGCTGTCGACAGTGATAATGCATGCATGCGCTGGAAATCAAACTCGGAGAGTCTACTGTGCGCATCAAGCTGCTTCTCTTGACGCTTCATTGTTGCCTTTGCCTTGGCTGCACAACGAGCTCAGTTGTCTGACAAGAATGAACTCCAACCTGCAACAACGTCCTTGCATCCAAACTGCTGTTGGTTGTCTGCTTCTTTCTGGTGTTTTCTTCAGTCACGAACCCTTGGAAACAGAACGAGGGTGCGGCCATGCTTTTGCACAGCTGCAAAAAAGCCAGGATGCCTAGGAAACGCACTTGTAAGCTCGCAATCTCTTGCGGCCCATCCGAGTGCTTCGAACTTCGAAGCCTCAGCTCCATGTGAGTGTACTGATGTCTTCCGCAATTGCCTGCTGTTAACAACCAAGCACAGGACTGCCCGAGGCAGGAGGTCAGAGCGAGGCAACAGGGGGAGATGGCACTGTCACCCCACCGAGGAGGGCCAGTTGGCGGGAAGGTTGGTGCTGCTCGACGGGGAGAAACCCGTCTTAGTGCCGTTCCTGGGGTCCCGCCAGCCTAGACAGACCACCAAGCACCCGATGCTCCGTTGGGCCCAGGGGACCATCCATCCATCCATCCATTCACTCATTCAATGCTTTTTTGTTGCTTCGGGGCTCCGTTGGCTTTGCCCGGCGCATAGCCACTATGCGGCCATGCACGCAGCATTAGAGACTCAACGACTTGCGAAGCTGATTCAAGTTACAGTCGTACTGAAGCTATGCCATGTACAACATCATCACGGAAATATCAGTATCACACCACTTCGATGTGAGACATACGAAGCTCAGGCCAAATGCCAGCGACATCTGATCTCCACCCTAACGGTAGAGCATGAAGCGTTACAACAAAATCATCTGTAACAATGGGAGTGTGAGATGCATCCTCATCATACCAAGAACAGACAGACAGCTGGAACATGAAGTACGGCTTGCTCTTTCGAAAATACCTCACTGCATTCACCAATAGGGTTTCAAAAGCCCCCGTATCAGAGAGTTGAAAGGTGAGTGGCCTATCAATAGTGTGACTCAATGCATTCAATGCATCCTTTCATGCATTTATGCATCTGTTGGAGTCCAAATCCCGATGTTGAAGGCCCCTTGCCGCCCTGGCCTCCAGTGGTCTTCAGGAGACCTTCCTCGCGCTATACATTTCTATTGGAAAACTCAACTTGTTTAAGCCTTAGCACGGGCGGTGTGCTTTCCAGAACAAACCCATAACGTGTCCCCCCAAGCCAAGTACAAGCGGATTTTAGATGTGTTCCCCGAAATACTGGCGGATTTAGAAGCGAAGCCGAATGTTTTCCCCAAATACTGGCGGATTCAGCAGCGAGACAGCAGTGCACTGGCGGATCTAAAACCAAGACCAATATGTTTTCTCCCGAAGTGCTGCCGGATAACGAACAACGTAGACACGGACAATCCCCTCAGCGGATTTTCAACACAGACAAGCACCGTCCCTGCAGAAGGTTGTTGATTTTGGAGCATGTGTCAAAACCAGAAGTATCCATAGCTTTTTGTTGCATGGTCGCCACCACCTCCAGCCTTTGAAGCTTTTTTCATCCAGCCTGCAAAGCCTCAGCCTTTGAAGCTGAAACCCAAAACAAGCAGAATCCGACCCTCTACAGTTTTTGTTTGACCCTGTGCCAGGGATTATAGACAGAGTACGGTGTCCATAGGCCCTGACCCCAGGGTCGGACAGGGGAAGTGCGGCAGGGTCGGCAGAGGGCAGGCTGCCGTCGGGTTTCCTCGTGCCTGCGGACAGCAATCAGGGCACGTCGTCTCCAGGATTTCAGTACCTTGTCCTTTCCTCTAACAGGTCTGCGCCTTTCTTTTTGCACCGTTCGGGCTGGCATCAGCTCCTGCTTTGGGATCTTCTTCGGTTTGCCACGTACGTGGCAGGGTTAAGCTTTGTCCGGTTTGCAAGCCATCTGTCTCAGCGAACATGAAGCAGAGGTCCACCCCGTCTGGGACCGAGCTTTGAAAAGGCATTACTCCCCGTCCAGCAAATCACATTGCTAATCCAACGGGCTTGCTGCTTCAATTTGATGTAGGCGAAGCATCGAACCTAACCATTCATGCTCCTAGTAAACCGTCGACCGTCGATAGCAAACATGGCTTTGGCGCCAATCAAGCACAGCAACCAGCGATGGCTTTGACATGCGCTGAGCCTTGAGGCCTTGATGCCAAGAAACAAAGGAACTTCCACAGCTTCTGGCTGCTTTGCCTGCTTTTCTGCGGACTCGCGCATGTCCTGCAGATGAGCCTTCGAAATAGGAAGCTCAAACGTCGCCACAACTGAAGGAAAGAAGTCGTCTTTCACCATCAGGCGGCCATGTACTGTAAATGGAACTTTGGGTATCTTCAGCTTCACATTCTTCAGGTCAAAATTGATCGTACAAAGATGCTGATCTGACTTGTTACCCTTCCGGCCATCGGCTTGATCCGCATTGTCCATCTCCTTTCGACCGTTCTTGATGTCATTGTCTCCTAGCAAAACGGCTCCCGGAAGATTGTTGTAGCTTGACTTCGCATACAGAAACTTGTCCCTTCGCGGGTAGTCAGAGAACAACTCCAAGTAGACGTGCCGGTTGTTGCATCGAAGATGCTGGTGGATGTTCAATGAGCCCACACTGATGATGACCGATATGCCCGTTCCTTGAACATCAAACCGTGTGGAACCAACCTGAGCATCGCCGCTTAGCAACACAGTTTGTTACTTCAGGCCGCAGCTTGTGCCGAGGTCCTGGCAATCCTATTGAAATTCGACACTGCCGGGTCGTCTTCATCCTCATCGTCTTCGTTCACGACTTCAAACCTGTAGTACTGTGGCACGAGATGGCACGGACATGTACAGGACCCACTTATGCCACGCAATGCAAATGATCAAGCTCGAGATTTGTCCTACATCTGGACTGCTGATTTGACTTTCGCTCGTGAGCTTTGGCGAGAGGCGTGCCGGCAAGATTCAAGTGAGGATTGCGCGTGCGCAAGATCCGCAGCATCAATGCGAATTGGAGCCGATGACGCTCTTGCTCAAAGCTGAAGGACAACACCGCCTCACCCTCTTCGAAATCAAAGTTGAGATCTAGGATCCACGGGACATTCATGACCACATCGTCGGACTCTTTGCGCATCGTCATTCGACACAATGCATCCAAGGGATAGAGCTCGCCACTCAGTTCTAAATTGAGCAAATCCTTGTCAAGGAAGGTCTTCTCCTCAAATCCGTTGACCCTGATCACGATGCCCTGAGGGGGAATTCGTTTGAGGGATGTTGCACCATGTAACCCTAAAACATCATGACTCAATCAGTTCAAGGTGTTCCTGCGGCCTTCACCAGCATTGCAACCCATTGGTTCACAACTCTCTCGACCAACTTCTGCTGATTCTGCTCCAGACTTGTTCGATAGTGCCGGAATTCAAAAGCACTGAGCTGCCTTGGGTCATGCAGAGACGGGGTAACAGAGCGCATGATCATGATCTGAGCAATGGGGGGAAAGTTCGGGTGAAGTCTTCCTCTCAATCGACTCTAATCCGAGCCCGGCACATGTCCGATGCATCCTTATCAGTCCGGTCGGCTTTGTCAATCGAAGTACAGCCCAGGAAATGCCAGATCGCTTCCATTGCCCTTGGGTTGCAAGAGCATGAAACCCACGCATGCTTTGGGCTGACATGTCCAAACAACTTGAGCAGATGGCTTGCCCCAGTCTCGCCATGAAAACAAACTACCAGCACGGGCGATGCGAAAGAAACCGTAGCTTCCACCCCCGCTAGCCAGCTCGTATCAGCCCTTGGTGTTGGAGACTGCTATCAAACTGCATGCTGTCACATTGTATGTTGACGTGCTGCCGATACCAAAGCGGGGCGGTATGATGCAAGTAGCAGCTGAAACATTAATCAACGTCTACCACCTTCTGTTTGCGATTGCTTGAGTCCATGACTGACGGTGGTACAAAAATGGCTCTCCCCTTAGGCCCTTTGAGCCTCAAAGATGCAGGCCATGTTCCGAAGCAGCCACAGCAACGTCGGTCTACGTGCAAACATCGCAATCTCTTTTACTCGCGCTTTCTCAGTAAGTGCAGGTCACAGAAACGCAGGGTGCCTTGGTCACTGAGGTGTGCAACTTTCAGCACTCCAATTCCAAAGTGCATATGCCTTTGCCATTGTTCAAACGAGTCCTGTTGCTCCGAACCACGGAATCTCGAAGAAGCCCCTCGGCCACCAAAACAACCATGCGACACCGAATGTGGCGCTTACCCTGCTGCAGGCATTTGCCAGAACTGCCTTGTTCGCCGATGCAGGAGCATCAATCAACAGGGCAGCGCATGCTGTTTCGATGCAAACCTC